GTAACAGCAAGTACTTGGCTTAAAAAATATATACAAGAAGCTATCTATAATAAGTATATATCAGTATAAAGTACTTAATAACCAGTATACCAAATTGGAAAACCATTAAAAACTAAATACCTAAATAAACCAATTTGGAAGTAACTAAGGTTTAATTATAAGATATGAGGTGAATATGTTAGATAACTTGAAGTAGTTTGAACACCAAATCCAGATATAATCCAATATATAGTAGAATCATAATATACTCTAATAAATTTAGATTATAGTTAATAGTTATCTAAGCTTGTATTTTTAAAATAGATATATAGATATATAACCATAAGGCAATTACTACTAAATATCTAATAAAAATATAAGGCAAGACCTCACCTTAACACTAAAAAAATTATTATTAAAGCTTGAACATGCTCTGGACACTTTTGAACACTTGGATACTTGAACATTAAACAGTACCAAAAAAGCCTTGGACAGTTAAAACATGCATCACTGCATTCTGTAAATTCAAATTTTATCACTAGTGGGATTCAAACTCTTGTCCTGCCACTTGGAGGTGACAACCTACCAACTACACTAGGTCACCACACCCATTTTGTAATTAAATAATATAAAAGTAATATTCAATTTGAATTTATAATTTCGCTAATAAAAATTTTGATCATAGTAAATTGATTAACATAGCAACATAATTTTGATTACTTAATTGATGTCGCACCTAGTAATACAAATCAATGAAAAATTTTCAATCGATTAGTTGATAGATCATTTTATCCAACTAATTGATTAATCAGTTTTTATTCAACTAATTGATTAGTTGGCCAATCGATTAATCGACTAATCAAATAATTGATTGGTCAACTAATCAATTAGTTGAATAAATAATAAATGAAACTTGGTAAAATACATGTAAGGTAGCAACTGAAACGCCGGTCGATATTCTTATGTGATTGGTTGATTTAATCGACCAATCGACTAGCCAATTAATTGACCAATCAACTAATCAATTAATCGATTAGTTGGCCAATCGATTAATCGATTAGTCGACTAATCGATTAATCAACTAAGTTGGGTCTGTAAAATTCAAATCGATTAGTTGTCAACTTTACAACTAACCAATTAATTCGATTTTCGATTTGTAACATTAGTCACACCCTAACGTCCGAGTGCAAAAGGTGTTTTTTAAAAATCACATGCTCTTTCAGATCGTGTAACGCTACATCAAAGCGAGGCACGCTACCGTAAAATTTTTATGGCAATACTAGGGTGGTTTATGTTTTACTACGTATTAAAAATGAATTTAATTTGGAATTTTTATTTTCATAAGTTAGAGCCCGTAATCATATGACAGGCTATAGGGTATGGAATAAACGCTACAAACTTGTTATGCGAATATTGAATATTGCAAAGACCCCTTATAAGAAATTTTAACATGAGTACATATGTCAGCACGAAATATAACACGTCCAAAGCATTGAATTCAGATAAGTTGCACGGAATCTGCACGCAAGCAAAGTCGACGAACATGTAATTATATGAAATTTTCTTATGTGCACGATATGTGCACGAAATAATGAACGGTTCATACGTAACTATACTGGAAATTGCACGGAAAAGCATGTGAAAAAGCACGCTATTACGTGTACTGTTGCGTTTTTTTACTACATGTCTAGGGCATGTTTTTCCACGCACTGTCCCGTGTTATATTCCATATAGTTCCGTGATGTTATGTACCCGTGTTTGATCATAAATCCCATGCAGAGACACTTGAAAAATGACCGAAATGATAAGTTTTTGATATCAATAACTTATTAATTCTGTACGATAACTTGTCGATTCGGTTACTGAAAATATGAAAGCAGCTGAAACACGGAGTTTTTTTTGCTAACGGAAATCAACTTAGGTTTTTGCAAAATTCGGATAAATTTCGGCATGGGATATACGAATATGCAATGTCCGAACCTGTGCAACAATTCCAATTTTTTTTACAATAGATTATATATGTACATCGGTTACACTAATATGCAAGGGTCGCCTTGCATAAAATCCCACATTTTAATATCGATATATAGATACTTACATATATCGTAAAGTTTTTCTAGAATTTTCTAGGTAGTAAAAATTCCCGATTCTGATTGGCTAATGTCATACTTCTAAACTTTAAAATAATTATTTTATTTAAAAAAAAAATTGTTTAATTTAAAAAAGTGCCATCGATTTTATATATAATTTATAAATATTACCCTCTACCCTTAAGCTAAATATTCAAAGAAGCTATTTCAGTTTTGTTTACTATTCATAATTTGTTTTTAGATTGTAAATATAATTAAAGTTCATTATATTTACTATTTATACGCATGAATAGTGCATGAGTATAATAATTTGAGCATTTAAATCAGATATCCAAGTTCATAAATAGTTACATTTTATTCGCATTAATTTAGTGCCTGAGAATAGCTCATTTACAATAAAAGTTCATATACAAGATCTCCAAAAATAGTAAACCACCATGAATTAGACCCGGGCGTGAACCACAGAATCTTTATTAATTAAATGCAAATAGCTAGAATGTCTATTATAAATATAAGGTTTTTAAAAACTTTAATTTTTTTTCACGTCATAAGCTCGGGCAAGTACTAGAACGCGTGTCTACTAAAGGGTTTAAAAATCGGAGTAAAGTACAAGACCCGGAGTATTTAGGCTCATGGATATTTATTATTTAGTAATAAAATAATGCGTATTATATGCAAAAACTCATCATATTAGTCCTATTTACGGAGTCTAGACTAAAAGCATTGAACTTTTAACAGCCCTTGCCCCGTGCTCAACGGCACGGGTTCTCGCTAGTACCAGCATAATCATCCTCAGATCTAACGATAATTTTACCGAATAAGACATACCGAAATATTTACGTAATTAACCGGCAGTGCCCGGACAATTGAAACTAATATTCAGCCGATATACTGTAACAGTAGAACATCTAATTTGATTATTTATCGATTAGCGTGTGAATAAAAATGTGGCATGATTTTTTACTAAGCGAGATTTCCAAGATTTTAATATTCAAGTTTAATCTCGATTATATGATTGTACATGTATTTTATCTTTAGGGCATATTATGTAAATCTAATCCAGGATTCGTCACCTTACTATAGGTAGAGAGACAGAATCCCATAGTTATAATTCAATTGTTTTGTAACACTTCCTCGATGAGACAAAATATTTAATCACTTATTTATCCTAATTGCATATTTGGTATGATTTAATATGTGTTATCGATAACAAATTATAGCAAAAGTCGTAATCACAAATTGATAAACAATCTTTTAAAATTCAGGATGATAAAAAGATCAATACAAGTAATTCGTATCTGAATTATATTATGTTAATTTATCCGTTCCTGGTTTAGCACAACTGTGTCGCGCAGCTATTTATTTTTCTTTTTTTTTGTGTTTTTACCTCTTGAATTTTTCTAACTTTAAGTTTATATATTAAGTAGAAATTGAATTATCTTAACATTCAAGTTAAACTGTATTTTAAGATCCTGGTTTTAGCGCTACTATATTGTAGTGATCATTTTTATACTATCTCACATGATCATCCGGGCACCACATTTTCGGGTGCAAAAATTTTGTACAAGGTATATATCTACGATTTATATTATCCTTTACCTTTGGAAAATTTCGGAGATTTACTCAATAGAGAGGTCTGAACGGCCAAAAACTGATCATCCGGATATTCATTTGTTCAATTTTTTTTAAACAATCTAAGATCGATCTGTTTTTAATCTAATCATTTCTAAATATGTAATTGCTCTAGAGTCAATTATAATGCCTAAACATAGAGTTCCAATCCGGATAAATCCGTCATCCGTTTATCCGGATTATCCAAATCGCTCGGATATCTGACGGGTAATCAGATAATTATCCGGATATTAATAGTAAAACGGATATCCGATGGATAAATGGATAAACGGATAATGGATAGGAACACTACCTAAACAAAAATTAAGATCAATTCTAATTCGATGACTAAACAAAAATTAGAACTAATTCTAACTCAATCTTCGCACATAGAAATAATGTTGGGGTGATGGTCATCAGAAGCATAGTTAACTGGGAAATAATGTCTAAACAAAAATTAGAATCAATTTTAATTCGATGACTAGCAAAAAGTAGAACCAATTTTAATTCGATAACTAAACAAAGATTAGGATCAATTTTAACTCGATGACTAGACAAAAATTAAAATCAATTCTAATTCGATCTTCGCACACAGAAATATTATGTTGGGGGAGATGTCATAGAAACATAGTTGACTGGGAAATAATGCTTAAACAAAATTAGAATCAATTCTAATTCGATGACTAGACAAAAATTAGAATTAATTCTAACTCTAACTTTGCACATAGGAATTATGTTGGGGAGATGGTCATCAGAAACATAGTTAACTGGAAAATAATGCCTAAACAAAATTAGAATCAATTTTAATTCGATAACTAGACAAAAATTAGAATCATTTTTAATTCGATGACCAGACAAAAATTAAAATCAATTCTAATTCGATCTTCGCACACAGAAATATTATGTTGGGGGAGATGGTCATCAGAAACATAGTTGACTGGGAAATAATGCCTAAACAAAAATTAGAATCAATTCTAATTCGATGACTAGACAAAACTTAGAATAAATTTTAATTCAATCTTCGCACACAGAAATATTATGTTGGGGAGATGGTCATCAGAAACATAGTTGACTAGGAAATGATTGCCTGGAAATAAAATCAGAAAAATGAAAGCGTCATTCAAAAAAATAAATATATAAGATGAAAGGAATTCCCACTCTGGAAAAACACACCAATCTAATATTATTACTTTGCTTCAAAAAGAACTTCACCTAAAAAATACAATAATAAAACCTTATTGCTTTATTCCAAAATGTTATTAAAGTATTTTATTGCTTTAATTCTTCTTTTAACCCTCATCTCACCAATCTACAGTGATGATGCCTTTACTTGCGGCCCTGCAAATGGTGGCAGCCAATGTGCATGCTCCTGCGACTGTAATGTTTTTTGTAAACAGACTGCTTGCCAAAATGGCTTTTGCAGTAACTCTTGTAATTGTAACAAGTGAGTAATTTATTTAAAATTTATAAGTTTAAAAATTATAGTAAATATAATACATGAAATAATTTCTTTTCTTTTATGCTTGATTTTTTAGATCACTTAAAAGATCTATTTTTGCATAAATAGCATCTCTGGCAACATTTTATCATTTAAATTATCATCAAATTTCTTTAGTACTTGTTTAATTTTTAAAAGAAATTTTGACAATTTGATAATTTATGCAAGTTTAATGTATTATGTTCATGTTTCGTTCTTTGTAATTTAAGCTCAAGAGATACTATATAAAATTTTATTTAAATCATTAATAAAATTATCAATATTCTTATTCTATGATTTAAATGACTAAATATTTAATCTAAGGTTTCAACTATAATAATATATGTTATTTTGAGTTTTAAGATTTACAACTATGATTTTTTTTGCTCGTACTCATACGTTATAAAAGCCTATATCGATAAGCATTGAAGAAGTTCGTTTTGATTGGTTGTTATAATACCCCGGAAAAAATGTCGATCATACCCCGTATAGATTATCGGCTATACCCGGAGTTTATTATAATTCTCTCTAAAGATGCTTTTACAGTACACTAATTCAGTTTCATAATAACTGTTTAAATTCAAATTTCACGAAGTTATATCAGTATTAATTATTTCACAATAAGTATGTCATTTTACAAAAAACGCTTTAATTCACTTTCACATTACATTATTACGCGTACTCAAACAATTCTAAACATTACCACTTTTACAACTTCCCATATCTATAAACGTTATAATCATAAACCATATTCGTAACCTAAATATATACAACAAAAAGGTTTAGAATAGTAGTTCAATATAGTATTTTTTGTTCAATATAGTATTTTTTATTTGTAAAAGGTAAACAAGACCAAATCCCATAATTTCACTTACTAATTGCTTAGGTTGCCGAACCACCTTCCGATCCTTCAAAATATTCACTTCTCATTTAGTTTCTTGAACTTTTGTATCTTACTGTATCTCTCATTATATTCTCATTTTTCGGAAAAGCACGGGATTTTTCATGCTGCAGTCAACCAATCAGAAACCATATTGTTAGCACATGATATAAACAGATGGAACTACGCAGCCAATCAACAGGCGTAACTCGTATATTATTATTTCTTCTATCGAAGTAAAATAAGTCGCGTTTTAGAAGAATAAACCTCTTTACCCAGCTTATAATAACAATTTACAATTATAGAAACTTTATTAGAAAAGTTTTTGATAAGAAGCCACACATTCTTTATTAATATTCTTAATACTTTTACATAATTAACAAAACTATACTATTGTACATATAAAATGACTTCTATTGAATTAAATATCTTCTAGAGAATATACAACTTTCGAAAACGTCTGTAAAGTTATAATAAAAATCAACGCGTTAATTATTGTCGGGGATGATGCTGAAACATCGACTTATTTTAATATGAAAATTTAAATTTTTTGATACATGTTCTTTAGCTTTTTTTTGTAGCTAAGTTAGGGTTTAGGGCTAGTGTTTATAATAAAAAGGTATAGGTGGATTTTAGTAGGGTTTATATTCTAAATTGAGACCCCTAGTTTCAGCATCATCCCCGACAACTATTTAAATAATAATAGATAAGAAAAAAAAAGAAAAACTAACGTTGAACTTTATGAATTAAGCAGTACACCATATTTTTATTACCTCCTACTATACGGTAGACAGTACTTCAACTCTTAATAAATCTACCTTTATTACGTGATTCAACGTGATTCAAATTGAGTTTCTTAACAAGACGTTCGCTAGGAAGTTATTTAATTAATAAAGAATTATATGGTTGGTTTATTTTATTTAAGTTTACTAATTCCTATATAAATATTCGTGTAACATTGATCCCGGAATAATTTATGGAGCGAGCATTGAAGATGTTCGTTTTGATCATTTATTTATTCAGTGGCATGTCACAATGGGGTATTTCATATGTATACGTATTGTAACGAATTTAATTTTATAATCTTACCCTTTTGGTGTAATTGATTATTTAACTAAATTAGTATCGTGATTGTTAAAGCCTTCGAAGGAGGCAGTGTGCATATTGACACGAGGCCAACATGATAGCGTGGTGCCTCTGATGTCATAAAGTAGGTTTCAGAATGTGTTCTCATTCATATTGATCGAAATGTATAAAAGTGAAGCATTAATTATAATAAACGGAAGAAACTCTTTATAATAAAGTAACCTGGACATAATGATATTCTCTCCTTAATTACAGACCATCATTAAGTCACCCTAATAGAATTACCATGCCCGATGGAAGCCAATCCATATAACTTCTAGTAGCGGTTGGAGCTACACTGCGCGTCGCTCTCCCAACTAACCGTTACATTTGGTGCCAGTTGTGTGGATTGAGCATCCCACCCCACGCCTTCATAACCGTAAAAGACCCTTATTTAGGCCAAATTGTAGGATTTTGCATATCCTCATAAAATGATAAGTGGTTTTCCTAAAATACCAAAGAAACATTTACCTTGTGCTGACACATATTTTTCAGCAAAATTTGGATTAATGTGCCTGCATTGACTACTAGATAAAAAAAAAAAGAAGAAAAAAAAAGAAGAAAAATTGAGAAAAAGAAGAAAGTTTCTACCTTTTCTTGAAGTGTTATAGAATGGTCATAACAGTAGTGTGTGGGTTAAGAGACACATGACAAATGTTGGATGGACATGGCTTGGAGTGATCTTAACAAATAAGGCAGAAGAAATCCAATACCTTGTGAAACCAATTCAATAGTTTAATCCAAAGGTGACCTATTGAGTAGAAAAGAAGATGTGAGTTGCCTGAAAAAAATGGAAGGAAAAAAAAATAAAATTCTTTTATAATAGATGTGACAATGAACTTGGGTGGTCACGATAGTCATACACGGGTTAGAGGAGTACATAAAAAAAAAAAATAGAAAAACAAGAAAAGGTTAAGGTTCTGACCGAAGGATGTGGCAAAGACAAATAGATGGTCATGACTGTTGTGTGTGAGGTGGGCACATAACACTAATAACATTAAAATGCTAACATAAACCTACTAGCAATTACAATTGACATGATGCTTGCAGATCTTGTCTCTTCTCTCAACATGTGGTCTTATTTTTATTATTACCTAAAAGTGAGAATAAAAATTAATATAGTACAACAAAGAAAAGACTTACTAAATTTCAAACCAAATAGATTTTGAGATTCTGATTTAGGTTAAATTGAGACAACATGATGTATGCTTATGGCTGGCAATGCACAGATTCGCTGAGGCAGTGGTTGCAGTATGAGATATGATGTTTGTGAATTTGAATAAATTAGAATGATTTTGATATTTTGCTTGAATAAGGTGGTATTTCATGGATTATACTCTTTAGATCATTGTTCTTGGTTTTTGGCTTGCGGAAGCTCACTTTCTTTGAAGGAGGATAATATAATGAATTAAATTTTATAATCTTACCTTTTTTGGTGTAATTGATTATTTAACTAAATTAATATTATAATTGTAAAAGGCAGCATGCATATTGATATAAGGCCAACATGATAGTGTGATGCTTCTAATGTAATAAAGTAGATTTCAAAATGTGTTTTCATTTATATTAATCAAAATGTATAAAAGTGAAGCATTAATTATAATAAATAAAAGAACCTCTTTTTTATAATAAAGTAATCTGAACATAATGATATTCTTTCTTTAATTATACACCATCATTAAGTTATTCTAATAGAATTACCATGCCTAATAAAAGCCTTTTATTATTCAATCCACATAACTTCTAGTAGCGGTTAGAACTACACTGCACATTTATTGTGCGTCGCTCTTTCAACCAACCATTATAGTATTAAATAATTAAGTCTATAAGATATTATAATAAAAATTACTAGTACAGATTTTTATGTATTATTTAATAATTTTGATTCTATGAAGATCCTAATATATCTGGCAATATTCTTTTAACTGAATCTTCAAAGATTCAGCATTAAAACTATTACAAAACTTTATAATAAAGCTTTAGCTATAATATGATATGAAACTTTTTTATACAATTCTTAATACTTATAATTAAAATGTTTAACAATTATAAAAGTTGGTTTTAAAATAGTACAGCAATAAAACTATCATACTGTAATAACTTTTAATAAAATTTTACTTATAATGTAATTAAAAACTATGAAATTTGAATTTGTATCTGGTTTGCAGATTTCTTTTATGTAGTATTCATATTTATATACAATTCTATTAGCCGATAATAATATGATCATCTGATTTATTAATATTAATGTTAATTGAAATTAAAATTATAATCTATTAAATTTTAAATAAAGTTTTTTAGTAACCACTTTATTAATATTGATAATTTTTTTATCTGAATTCTACAGATATATATAATTTAATAAAAAAATTTTGTTAAAATTAACAAAATAGTTATTGGAAAAACTTTGCCCAAAATCAGAAACATTTTTACCTTTGCAATTATTTAAGTTTTTTTAACAATTACTCAATTATTTTCTATAAATCTTTTACTTAAATTTTACATAATTATAAATCTAAATAAAAATCTTCATAGAAATTGATTAGATAATATTAAAAAAATTTTGTTCAAAGTTTTAAAAGTTAAACTCATAGGCAGAAATGATTTTTTTGAACAAATTTTCTTGATAACTACTTAGACTACTTAGGCAACTTCGATAAAAATTATTTTATTTGAATTCTGTATAATCATAGAATTTAGATAAAAAAAAGTTCATCAAAATTAACAAGTAATTACTAAAAAAAACTTCATTCAAAATTTAAAAAATTACAATTTTAACTTCAATTAATAGATTAACAATCATATTATTATTGATTAATAGGATTGCACATAAACATGGATGTTATATAGAAGGATCTGCAAACTGGACACAGGTTCGAATTTTGCTTAAAAACTCTTCACATAGTTATAATTTTCAATTTTTGATTATCAAAACTAATTTATAACAAATGCTTATCATTTAGACAGAGCATATATAGAAAAAACTTTTATTAATAAAATAATCAAAAATAATCAATTAATTTATAATTTTTAAATTATAAACTTATTTGGCTATATTGTGCTAATCATTTGCTAAAAAAATTAC